AAACTGGGGGATGGAATTACAGCTCCCGTAGTAGCTACAACACCTTCGCTACGTTGAGTTCAAATTGCCGCCGTTCGACGGGACTTCTTCTTGGTCAGCCTACAAAATCCAGTTCGAGGCTGTTATGAAGGCGAATGGCTGCAATAAAAGCCAGGCCATGACTGCTCTCACACTAGGCCTGCGCCACCAGGCCTTAACAGTTCTGGAAGCTCTCGGTAAGGAAGTGACTTATCAGCATCTCCTTGAGGCATTGGAGGCGAGATATGGCGACGCTCACCTGGAACACGTCTTTCGTGCGCAGCTTAAAGATCGCGTGTAGCTCATCAACGAAAACCTGCAGCAGTGGGCTCTAGAGGTGGAGAAGCTGGTGCGAAAAGCATACCGGTCTGTACCTGCGCTCATTGAAGGGAACCTGGTGCAGACATTCATCGACGGCATCCGCGATTTTGAAGTCAGAGCTGCTGTGAGGCTCGGGCACCACGTGACGCTTAAGAACGCCGTAGCCCATGTACTGGAGGTGGAAGCCGTGCGGCAGGATCTTCGTTCCCATCGCGTCAGGGAGGTTGCAGCAGCTACAGCAGTTCGCGGCCGCAGTAATGAATACAGCCCTAGATGCTATGGCTGTGGGGAAAGGGGCCATCTTCGATCCAGCTGCCCTAAGCGAACCGTAGAAAGGGAAGTAGATTGATCTCGAGAGGGTAGTGCAGCTAACGGCACCTTCTGGCGGCGGCAGGATCATCGCCTCACGCTAGGGAGGTTGCAGCGTTACGGTTCGCGACCACCATAAAGGATACAGCCCTAGGTGCTATGGCTGTGGGGAAAGGGGCCATCTTCGATCCAGCTGCCCTAAGGGAACCCTAGAAAGGGAAGATGCACGATCTCAGAAGGGAAATGCGGCTAACATCACCGCCCAGCAGCAGCAAGAATACGACATCAGAATCAGATATCAGATATCGCAGCGGGAAATCTCATGGCAACGCAGATGCATTGTCAAGAAGACCTTGAACTGAAGATTGCAAACATTGTACTAGGCAAGACAGTAAGGAAGTGGTATCCGTGAGGATGCTCAGGACAGACCACCTCAGCAACAAGTGGAAGGACAGCCTACGACATGCACAGCAGAAAGATCCGGACATCAAGCCGATTCTGAAATGGATGAAGGGCCGTGATACCAAGCCTAAGTGGAGCGACGTCTCAGCGATGAGTTCGACCACTAGAAGCTATTGGGCCCAATGGGACAGCTTGCTGATTCAGGATGGAGTCCTGTGCCGTAAATGGGACAATGGTCGAAGAGACAGCTGTCGTTTACAAATGGTTATCCCTAGAGCTAAAGTGCCAAATGTTCTACAGCTGCACCATAATGGTTGTTCAGGAGTCCATCTGGGAGTTAAACGAACTCTACTGAAGATCCGAGAACAGTTTTACTGGGTGCACTGTCGTGACGATGTCGAGGATTGCTGTCGCACATGTACAAGTTGTGCGGCTGCGAGGGGACCTCAGACACCATCAAATTGTACAATGTTGGTGCACTATGGGATAGGACAGCCCTTGACATTGCGGAGCCGTCACAGAAAGGCGCAAGAGGGACTCCTAAGATCATCTATGTGGATCGCCTGGCGCGTTATTATGGGGCCGATAATGCTAGGGACGAGAATGTCTTAGGAGGGGGCAGTGTTGCGCGCCTAACTTGACCTCTTGTACCCGGCCACTAGCGCCATCTAGTGTCGGGGACCAGAGCGAGGAGGGCTTCCCACAAAATGTCAATCTTGACTTTCGACCAACAGCGCCATCTAGTATCGAACAGAAGAATTAAGCTTTCTGGAAGCCCCACACTCGAACTTTCTGCGCCTGGTCGGTTGGCGCACGTATTTACTTGAATATTCTGGATGTTACGGTGAAAATTTTGTATTTACTCTGCAAGGGGCTCTGCAAGACGCGGTCGGGGCAGTATTGAATTTGGCTAGACAAGCGAAGCTTCGGAGCGAAACAAAGTGAATCAGTGTGGTTAATTATTAGTGTTAATGTAGTAGTAGGTTTTAATTAGTGTAAAGTGAATTAAAGCGTAAATTTTGGCAATTCAATCGGCAGTATTTATTGTCACGAACCCTAAGCTCGTAACAGGATTATAGTGCCTAAGTGTATGTGTAAACACAGGTGCACTCTCTATTCCCTCACTCTTATAATCCGATGGGACGGTAAACCGACACGACTGGAGCTGAGATCAGTCGAAGGACCAACGGCTTTACGTGCTTTCCGAGGCACGGGGGTGAGACACCGCCAACTTCCTGACTCCGGTCAGCTACTGAGAATTTCTTGACAGAAAAACTCAATAATTAATTTTTTTGGCCCGACCCGGGATTCGAACCCGGGACCTAATGATGCTCGATTCCAGGAAATTGCCTTGTAGTCTGCGGTGAGTCGAGAAGAAGGCAAGTAATTTGCGAGAGTGCTGTGAAGCAGAGGCGAGCAGTAAGGCTCAGAGCCGTGCCGAACACTGAATGGCGCAGAGAGTAGCTTGAAGGAACAGGAAGCATTATTATTCCAGTGCTGCGATGAACCTTGAGAAGCTAGATGGCTTGCAGGATATGAAGACTGCAGACGATATCTGCTCGGCAGCGAATGGGTGGGGTATTCTATGACGATGATGAAGCTTGAAGTTTCCGAAGGTTGTTTGGTTGCGTGTTCAGATCACGTCGGATGGTCACCACTGTGGCCGTGGTAGGAAAAGGGGAGATCTCCCGCTGGGCAAGGTGTTCTGCCCGGGGAGCGGCCGACACTCCGTGTGATAGTTCGGAGATGTTCTATATATACTGTTTATGATTCGGAATGTTGATAGCGTGATTTAGGCTTCGGTGTATTTCGCTTGTGGCGCGACGACAGCGCCGCCACATCAGGATAGGGTGACTAACTAGCACACAGTCCAACTGATGATAAGTGTTTGCTGCGGCCCGTAGCATCTACATCTATCCTCGACTACAAATCAAAATGCAGATGCGTTGTCACGCGTGAGGACTAAGATGGAATGCCTCGTTTCCAGTAAAAAGGGTCTCCGGTTCTCTACACTCACCATACGAAACACAGCAGCATTAAGCTACTATTTTACGCTGGTATTCTGTGTTTATTTAGATTGTATTGTTAATCGAGTACATTTTTTTAATTTAAGTTTATTTTGCATATGTGCTAATTTAATATGAAGTTATTATTAGCGTCGCTCCGCACTGCATGAATATCGAAGCCACAATAACGGGTGTACGGATTGCAGTACAGTTCAGTTGAACATAGTGAGTGTTAGGAATGCGAAATCTAGTGCGTAGTAAATATAGGTCGATGATAGCCAGTAAAGCTGACTTCCTACCTTTCAAACCGGAAGCAGCAGTGCTCGCACTGTTGCTTGTGGGCAGAATTATGTAAGAAGCCGGTAAGTACATAGACGGACTTCTTGGCAGAAAAACCCACCCGAGAATAGGTAGTAAGTGGTAGGTTATATTGCACTGTTAAAATAAGCCAATAAGCTTGTTACTGAGTTTCTTCACTTATCAGGTTAGTAATCTCTACACACGAGTAGTATAAAACGAAATCGCTTTCCGCCGTCTGTATGTTTAGATCTTTCAAACTACGCAACGGATTTTGATGCGGTTTTCATTAATAGAACGATACAAGAGGAAGGTTTATATGTCTAATACATTTACATGTTGTCGAGATCGAAAATACACCCGTGCGAAGCCGGGGTGGATCGATAAATGTTAAGTAAGGAAAAAATAAAAATTGAACTATATTTTTACGCATTTATTGGTTGTGCCAGAATTTAAAACAGTGAAATGTCTACCTGCTATATATTAAATTTAAATTAACTAACTTATAATACTATTGTGTTTCTTTAACAAGGTTTATTATTATTTAGACGTGTTATACATAGTTACATAAGCTTCAAAAATGTGACAATAATAGCGAATAATCACGAAAACTAGTAACAAGAATTCTTTTATGGGACTTGTTGGAGAATAATATCTGAATTAAGAAAATTGCATTTGGTAATTTGTCTTTTCCCTCTACCTTTTGCTTTGTAACAGATATTTTGTGCATGTATTTATGTTATGTTTGTCTTCGCCCATTGTAGAACTTTTTTTTAACGAGAGGCTTCGATATCCGACGCGTATGTTTTTTAATGTACTTCGTATATTTAAACATTTGTTTTGAAACAATGGAACAAATTTAAATGATGCTTTTATTATTAAATAGGTTAAAATTCAATGACGTATTTAATTAATAAGATTTAATTAGTATAGTATATATTATATTTGAATTAGGTGTCAGGCGTGGTGTTATTTAAATTTAAAGAAAAAATAGGTAAGGTGAAGTTTAATATATCTTTATAAACAACATTCACAACACTGGTGGTTAACGTGAACTTGTTATATTCCTTAGATTACTGAAAAAGGTAAAAGAATTAAACCTTTAATAAAAAATAAAAACCGCTTTAAAAACTAAATAAAAATAAAATAATTTGCATATAATGACTTCAGAAGTCAGGGCTTTACTCGTAATTCTTCGATAAACACTCTCTTAGCACCGACTTAAGAAGCTAGAATAAAAAAATATTTTGGTTTTTAAGGTAGGTTATTTTTTTACACTTCGTTTATACCATTTACATACTTATTTATTCTTATTATACTATAGAATATTGTTGTAACTGAGTTCTTTATTACTCAATTTTATTTATTTAACAGTTTGCATATAACACAGTTGTTTAAATCATACAGGACCGACGGAAGAGAATCTCTTATCTATACATTAGATATGTATAAAAAATTTAAATTAAGAAATTAAGATCTAAACTGGCGGCTATTACCAAGGTCAAATTTTGTACCCCTTTATTGATTGAAGGATTTTTGACAAGGGCGCCAACTTACTTCACTTAAATTGCCTGCTACGTAAAAGTTTGCTCAATCTAAATAATTAATATCATCCACAGAATTTGCGCTGCTTTTCGATACAAGCAC